GACAACAGAAATGTGTGACTGAGAAGCATTTATCTCCTACAAATATTATATCCAAAATAAAAAATGCTTATGAATAGATCTTTAGAATGCTTTAATTCTGGCAAAGAAACTTCATTTCTTGGTTAACACTGGGATTCAAACATTATTGCTAAAAGAATATTTAAATGTATTCTCATAGTAATATTGCTCCATTTAGCTCCATAGTAATATTGCTCCATTGTAATGTACCTTCACTGTAATGTATAAAGGCCAATTCCAGAGCCACAGAATTCCATTCAACATAAAAAATTAAGTGAAAAATATTAATTCATACAGTAAGGCAATAATTTTTTCATCAACTTGTTGAACTGATATCCTGCGATTTATATCTGAACCCTAGCTGAACTATGTAGTTCCATAGAATAGTTTTCATTGTCCTAAGCAGTCAGTTGGTTAATGAAATATTTATACATATATAATTGCTGTCCCAACCCCAGGGGAGCTGGGAATTGTGTTTAAGTTGTATGATTTCAAAATGCACTGCGATGCATTAAAACAATTCTTATAAAGTTAATCACTATTCTACCTATTACTCTTAGAAAGGAATGTTAATTTAATCCACAGTCCTATACGCAGTTTCCTCACATTTACTTTTGAAGAGGCTTTTGATAGGATTACACAGCTAAAGAAACATTACTCTTGTGAATTAAACTCCAGTTCAAAGTTGAAAAAAAATGGTCTATGTAAGTGGAAAAGCTCAACTCACAGAAGATGCCTCTCTCCAGTTGTGGGGAAGCCTCTTTCAGCCCAGCCCTGCACTACAACTCACCAAGTTCAACATATTATCTGGATCTGACACTGGGATTGGTTAACATCCATCATCCATCTGCCTACATTTCCACAGCAAATGTTGCAAATTAAGTTCCATTTTTGTAGATACAGAATATGCATAACATTATCTAGCACAGAAAGAACTGTGTTGAGTTGGACCAGTGGCCTAGTAATCTCTTTTTCACATTACTCAGTACCATATCCTGCACAAAAGTACTATTAACTAGTCTTCTCTTCCAAGAAACTTGGGAGACTCCTACATTCTCAGACTGATCTAATGAACTGTATTCATGACCATCACTAGTGGCAACACATTTAGGCATATATGCAGTACCCAGTGTCTAATGCTATAGAGAAGCAAGATATCCTTTCTCATTATTCCTCTCCCGCCCAAAAAATTCTGTTACTGTTTTTTTATAAGTTGGAATGGTGTACTCACAAAAAACGATCAAACAACCAACCCACCCATATTTCAGTACCTCAATCAGTCTGTCTTTGAATAGCAAACATTTCTTTAATCCCATTTTGAAAAGCAACATGTTGCATTTACAAACATTAGGTATTAGCATCAGATTATCCTTAAAATGCTAGTTACAGCACCACAGCTAAGGATCAATGTATAATAATATTAACACATTCAAAGTCTCTCAATTTAATTTGGTAAAATTATATTTATTTGCCTTTTCTAGTGACAGCTCACTACTTTTAATTTTCACTGTGTTTTAGTGTGAACACAGTTGAGTATAGTCACAGAGTGTGTAAGGAGTGTAGGGGTACAGGTTCACAGAGATACAAAGGTTACAGCTAGTAACTAGTGAAGTTATACTAAAAATACCAAGAATGCACAAATTGAAAAAATGATTGTAACTATTTAAAAAGCATTGAACATCCACCCCAAAATAACACAAAACTAAAAATGAAAACGAATACGTAAGCGTGAGTACCATAAACTGCAAGAGTGTCAAGCATGCAAGCACTGAAATGCCTTAAACACACTTGGCACTCAGTTCATACCTAACATTTCCTTCTTAGTATTGCAAGCCATCTTGGAACGATTTCTGTGTAGGATGGGGTAAAAATATTTTAAATAAATTAAATAAATAAATAAACATTCCTGCTCAAACAAGCCATCCCTCCTCACCTCATACTCCCATCTTAAGGAAAGACTTCCTAGTGTGTGAAACCAGTGTCTATCTGAATGAGGAAAAGGTGGTTTAAGTGCTCTCCATAAACCAGCATTGCAAACCAGCACCCTATTTCATAATCTTGGTTTCAGGGATCACTTAAACCAGTTTCTCAGCCTGGATGTCATGGGAAACTGGTTTAACAAACCAGAAAGACTTTGCTAAAGGGCGGTGTGCTTGGAGGAGGGAGTACTTCCCTCCTGCTATGGCACTGTGAAAACTGTCTGAATCAAGCTACTACAACTAATATTTAGAACATGAAAAATTCCATCTAGAATTTGACATCAGTTCATGATTTATGATTCACAATGTGGCAGGAACAATGTGGTACTGTCTGGGCCTCCACAATGGCCCTATACACCTGGCTTCCAAATTTTATGTGTAACCTGGAGTATTGAGCCAATCCAAAGAAGCCTCTGGGATCTGATCATTTCCTCTCCCACTGCACTTTCATTTCATTCTTGCTAAAGCAAACCAACAGGAGAACTAGCAAAAAATTACTTTCTGTATACTGCTAAAGTTATATAAAAAGTTTTTTCTTCTAATTTTCTTTTCAGAATATGCTAAACTCTGGGATTGTAATCTAAACTTCTTATCAAGTTCAACTCTTAAAGACAGTTTCCCTAACATCCCATATTATTAATAACCAATCTTCAAAGTTGTTGGAATGAATCCATAAAATAGTTCATTCCTCACTCCCCCAATCAATGAAGTGGCATATTTTAGATGAGAATTTAAAAATAAATTTACTATTTCACTGCTTAACGATTTATATACTTGTATGTTACAAAATAAAGAACACACCACACATGATCTGGTGCTACAGAGCTTTAGACGAGGCTTTGTTCTGTGTGTTTATGGCAGGGCTTAGATATAGAACATGCAATACAATTGAAAATAAGAATGCCACTGTGCATGAGCAAAGTTCCTTCACTTATTACACTGAAATCAACCTGACTGAAAAGAACTCACAATTTACAAGCAGGCTTACATCCCATCTCCTCCACCTCAAGAAAGCAAGAACTGTCTTGCTGGATTCAATTCAATTTTCTCAAGTCTAGCATAGCACTGTACCAATTTACATGATCAAACAACCTACTGTAGATTGTTTAAACCACGATGTGCCCACCTGGCATTTTGCATATGCAATTCTCAACCCATGGTCTGTTGCTGATTTATCCACAAGTAGTTTAACCCTTGCACAACCCTTAATGACTGGGTTTGGATGATATGGCAACTTCTAGTCAGAAACTGAAAAATACCAGCTGGCACAACAAATCACACTCATTTCTTTCTTTTATGTAGGTTGAAGGCATGCACATCTCTTCCTTGAAAAGTTGACTTTCAAACTATTGTTATATATCATAAACATTTTTTAAATTAATCTTAGTTACAAAAATGTTTTTCCACATGGCATGAGTCCATGCATTATTTTGTACCCTGGGCCAATAGTTGCTTTATTTTTTCTCAATTTAGCACTTTTTCAAGGCTTATTCTCTAACACAGTGAAGGAGGATAAAAGTTAACAGTGATTATTGTAACAAAACATATGTATTAGTTAATTATGGGTAAGACTCACTCCATTAAACAATCAAGCTAGGGAAAGTTGAAGGCAGAAGAAAAGGAAGACCTAGTATGATATGGATTGACTCCATAAAGGAAGCCACAGCCTTAAATTACAAGAGTTGCAGAGCTCTTGTGGATAGGACATTTTGGAGGGTTTTCATTCATAGGGCCATCATAAGTCAGGGATGACTTGATGACACATAAAAACAACAACATAATGCAAGTGCATTTTGTTGCTAAAATTACGTCATATTTTGAATATGAAAAATGCAGCCTAGGTGATTTAGAACTCACTTGCTTCTCCTTCTGCCAGTCAAGAGTATTCACAAAGTCCTTCAGCACCATGTTTCAAATGCATCAATTTTCTTCCTGCCAGCTTTCTTCACTATCCAGCTTTCACACCCATACATAATGACATTTGCAATGTAGCAAGTGAAAAATAAAAATATATTCTGTGGACACTTACTTGGACAAACAAAGTGGGTCTTGCTTCTCGTGTGTATATTACATACAATTAAGCAATTTTTACATTAGACCTGGGTAGCCAAGGTTATATGTATCACTGAGGACTGACATTTGCATTTCCACTATTCCAGTTATCACCATGGAGTCTCCTTCCTCACAAAACCTATGGATAGTGCCCTTTCATGACTTAACCCACCTTTCTCACCCTTATTTCATCACCAACTTTGGTGCTGGTTCCTTTGAGCAGGTTCTTTTACTCCCATTATACTGTAGGACAGATGTGTGCCCATTTGTAGCCTTAGTTCACATTATTTTTGTTTTTAAATTTAAGTGTACATTTTACGTCTGGTAGAATATTCCTTTGGGCACAAATGTTTATGGATACTGTAAAAACAAATCACCCAATTTTAGAGAAAAAACCTCTACAAACATTACCAGCTTCTGAAGAACTCTTGTCAAGAAATGGGAACCAACACACAGGACTTCAACACCACCTCCAGAAGAAAATAAGAGAAATGCAGTAAGAAAACCCTTCCTAATAATATTACTTCTAAATGGGTATCATGAAAAATAGTTAAAATAATATACACAAGACCATCTAAAATGGGATGGGACCATCTAGAATGGGATGACTATCTAGAATTAGAGTTGGACAAGAACCTTTCAACAACGAACAATTAACACATCTGTCTTCTCTAAAGAGAATTGTATGCTGATTTTATAACCCCGTTTGGTTGATTTTTTTTAGTTAAATGGCAAATGTTTGGGATATTGGGATTTTATATGATCTAAAAATACATTTGAACACTTAATAGCATGCTTCTTCATGTTGGACTGGGGCAGGCAACTATTTTGGACCTGTGGCACATTTGGCAATGCAAGAAGCTACTATGGACCCTAACATAAAATAGCTGCCATGAGAGGCATGGCTACTCACAAAGGACAAGTAACCTATCCAAAGGACTGAGCACAAGACAGAAGTGGGGTCCATGCCCAACATACAAAATAATCCCTTTGAATTCAGAGCTCATAAGAAAATATGTTAGGAGGGGTAGAGCACCTTGCAGGTGTCTGGAGGCACACTGGTGCCCTCACAGATTATGTTGCCTAACCCTGATATAGAGCTTTGGGGTTCTTTTAAATATTAAAAAACCTTGAACGGTTGCACTTGCATAATGAGACTTTCCTGCCACCTTCTTCCTAGCACAATCCTGTACATCCTCCAAAAGCCACTCAAGCAGTTCAAGACACAGTCCAAGATGGCATTGGATGTAATCAGGGTTGCACCTGGAAGTAGGAGACATACCTCTTATATGAACAAAAGCACCCTCTAATCACATAAGTGGCTCTCTGAATCCAAGACCATATGTTCACTATTTTACAGTGAACTGGTTGGTTGGGAATCCTATATTAGAAACATAGAAACACAGGAAAAAAAGCAAGTCAGAAGAGGCCTCCCAGGCGGTCTAACTGTAAAGCGCATGTAGTCTACATTTACTACATGTGTAATGTTTAATTTTGCTTAACAGCGTCATATGATGAGCTATAAGTACAAAGAGTTTAAAGAATGTAGAATGTAGAGAGAATGTACAAAACTACCACCCATAAGTATACTGGATGGGAAACATTAATCCATCTGTGAAGCTGGGACTACTGAACCTCTTTCAGCCTGGTAGTCTGCACTCCAGTGGCTGTCAGGGCAAAGAACAAACTATGTAAGGTCCCAAAGGCCATCATACTGTAGCTTAAGGGAAAAATCCTATGGCCTCAAGACAGTGTTTGAGGGGGACATAGAATACAATGAATTTCCAGATCCTAGGTTATAGATAGTGATCCAACCTTGGAGAGGGAATCCATGATCCAGTCAGAATGGAAAGAACCATGCTGGCTGCTTGAGGTCAAGAATGCAAACCTGGACAGGGGGAAAGGGAGAAATTTCAGCTGGCAAGGGTCAGAGGAAACTGAAGCAGTCAGGATATGAGTTATTCTGAGGCTCTGCAGCATCATTCCCTGATTGTCCAAAATGCATCAACTGGATTCAGACACCCAGAGGACTAGATTTCCCCACTGAAGGTCTGCTGCCTTAGCTTATACAAACTGTACAGCTTTGTCCTATGATAAACCTTCCAGAGTAAAGTGCATTCAAAAAGTATGCACAACTGTTCAAATGTGAAGATAGTCATAAGTCTGATCACTAAATGGAGTTAGAAAAAAGAGCATTTTGCCATTTGACCCCTAAAAACTGAAAATCCGCATACAACAACCAATTCACAAGCATCACAAGATTACAACCTAAGTGATCAGAAAGAGCCAAATCATTAATTACTTATGTCCCTATGCCTCCCACATCAAAGAACCTTCTAACAATAATTATTAGAGTGGTTTTGTTTGGTTCAATTCATCTTCCATCAACTCATCTGCAACCATACCCCAAAGTCAGGCATACAATAGTAAGTCCAGTGGCTTCATAACAGCCCCTCTGTCCTTTGGCAGGTGAACAAACAGTTAAAGCACTCTCTATATTACCAAAGCTAGATCAAAGACATGATGACTCAACCAGTGCTACTTATCTAAACCCAAATTTTGATACTGGTGGTATTCAGTAGCAATTTGTGGGTTATTCAATAACCAAGAAGGAACAATGTGGTAACTTGGAGTTGTTTAACCCATGAATAAGCCCAAATGCCCAAGACCTGACATGATGGAAATAACTTACAAACTGCTTCCAAATACTGCCATTATGTCCAAACCGGCTCATAGAAAATGAACTTAGGAAGCAACAAAAATAACAAGACAAAAAGCAGTTTAAAACACCAGTGTCCACAGCACCATTATCAACACCAGAGTTGTGGATCAATACAATAAAAATAATCACTTTAAATGTCTTATACTAAAGTATGAACCAACATTTATTTACAATCAGAATATCTGTTACAATAGGAATAAGAAACACCACAGAATAAACAATCACACAGATATATGTTTTAGATTGCTCCTCTTGCAAATAAAGGAACAGAGAATTTTTCTTCAATTTTCTTCTTAATTGTTCAATGCTACTTTCAAAGGAAATAACTAGTCAAATATTCAGGATAGAAGTTTCAGTAAACTTAGGATGAGATTTTAACCCACCTCCACCATTTATTTAGACAGTATTAATCTACTATTGGGGGCTCCAATTGACTCATTCAGAGGCCTAGACAAAGGTAAAAGTAGCATTTGATTTTGGAAAGACCACAAAACAAGGCATTAGATTGTAACAATGAATGTAATTAATAATAAAAACTGAAAAAATATAATCTAACGCAAAAACACGATTGAGTACATTAGACCCCACAATGTTAACTTAATTTTCTGAAACAGAACTGCAAACACATTGAGCAGTAACTTTCTATTCTTTTGCTAGAGGCAACTGAACCTGTGACATGTGAATACCACCCATCAACACACCAGTTAAACAATCTTCACTAAGGAACCAGAATGTCCTGAAAGTGAAATATATCCCAAAAGCCTAAAGGACTGTCTGCATTTTCAAAAGAACTTTTCAAACTAGGAAGTTTGCAGGAACAGAGTATTAATTCCTGTGTCAAGATTAAAAAAAAAATACTTGGAAGCAGAATAAACCTCAAGGTAATTCTAGAATCCAATGGACCCCACAGTGCTTTGCAATGTTATAACGTGACACAGGAATTCGCAGGTAAGGAAATGCAACATAAAAAACCAGAAAAATCCCTCCAATTTTCTTGAAGTGGAAAACCAAATTAAAACTAAATAAAATGTGCTTGTGATACAGGAAAAATAAGTTATTGCCACAGCTATTTTGAAGCTATGTTACACAGAAGAGATACCAATTAACTTAAGTGCTTTTTTGGTTTCAGTTTTTCATTCATTCCGATACAGTAATTGAAAAAAAGTGTTGCAGTAATACATATTCTTCAAAAAAATGAAAAGGGAATGAAGATGAAACCATACATGACTACTAACTGTTCAACAGAGTAGTTCAGGCTTACTAAAACAAAAACAAAAAAGAACCCATACAAATACTTAAAAGAGTTTTTGGGAACCAAAGCAAACCCACTGGTATTGGAGGATTAAATATGGAACTGCATTTTTAAACTTAAAGTGTTCAATTTATTAATAACATAGCTAGTATAGTTTCTTAATATGTGCTTGTAATTTTCTCCATTTAAAACTTATAAGGAATAAAAAGCCAACTGAAACTCTTTTGTAAATTGAAAAGCCATGATTAATGTTTAAACAAATGCCTTTGCTTTGGAAATTTCATTTCCCAACAGTGGTTTACACAGTAGAAAGTTTGTACACCAGATTTAATTGAGATGAAAAATGCAGTAAGATCCTTAAATAAGATTTCTAACATTACTTTGCTACCCCAAGCCTTGGCTGGATTCCCAAATACCACATATGGAGTTCTGTGCACACACTCGTTGGGGAGCAGCATTCTGCTCTGCCTTCTTGTGGCAGTCCCCTGAAAAGCTCCTGTTGAGGCACAAAGTGCTATATCTGACAGGACAATCAGAAAACCCTCTGTGGTGCACTTTTATCTATCTTTAGCTTTATTATTTTCAGGAAATGATAATAAGTACTGACATACTTGTAATATAGTTGCAGCTGTGTTGGACTAAATATATGCCTAAGAGTTAAAATCACATCCCCAGTCAAAACATGCTTGCGTGCAACAAGATGTTGCATCTGCATATACACCAGAGAATTCTTTTGCTCCACCTGTTCAAGCTGATCGGTTTCCTGTGAAGAGCAACAACTACTAATGATCAACATGTGTGGAGGGCAGATCTTCCATACACAAAGATCCAGTGCATGCTTGATATGTATGCAACACTGACAGAAAGCAGAAAAATAAAAGGAGGTAGACAGAGAGGGAGAGAAAGTATCTTAACATGTTGGACCGGTACTTGAGAGCTCCAGGTTCTAGCTCCAGAAAACTCACTGAGTGACTTTGGGTTAGTCACAGACTCCTCTGCCTAAGCTAACTCACAAGGTTGTTGTGAAAATAAAACTGAAAGGAATAAAATAAACAAAACAAAACAAGTAGTGGAAGTTTTAAGGGGTACAAGACTTTAAGCCTAAGCAAGGTAGATCATATATAATATAATGCAAAAACACTTTAAGGAGCTCAGGTATCTTATGCTTTAGATAATTTTATGTTATCTGAAACAGAGGTAACACAGCCCCAATTTCTACTACACTGGGTAACAGATCTAGTTTCTCCTACAACTAGATCCAAGCTTCAAGACTGAAGATGAAGATTATTTGAATTACACACTATTGCAATGGACAGATAGTCATAGTTCTTCCAAAAAACTTTAATATATGAGGTTCAACAGAGTAATTTAAGTTTCCAAGTTCACTTGCTGAAAGCATGCAAAGTACCATTAGAAACAAAAACTAGACATCTGGTTATCACTTCATGAAACACAATTGCCATATTCCCAGTTTCCTTTAAAGAAAATGTAACACTCTTAGTTGCAATGAACACCTTAACAATTCTGAGGATAGTATGAAAACTAGTAGCAAGCCAAAATATATTTTTTAAGAATTCATAGTATTAGACATATCCTCACATGCCAACAATTCCAGAATAAGAGGAGCCATTGCCCTCTATGTTAATTAGGTCATTGGGCATAAACATTATGAGTAAAAATTTCTGACTTCAAAACTAACTTAGTCATGGAAGTATGCTATTGTCCTCCAGACACAATGCTCAAGGTGATCTCAAGTTAGAAAATGAAATCAGTGGAGGCCTCCAGCAAAGGCAGTGCTATAATAATGGATAAATGCACATCAACTGGATAAATGCATGTTCTGGTTCTCACAGAGACAGTAAACTCATATATTCAGTAAGGGAGTCTGAGGAATTAAGGCAGATAGTAGAGATTAAAGAAAGACGTTCTCAACCTTATGAACAATCTGAAAGTCAGCAAATCACCCAGACCCAATGGTATCCATCCTAGAGTTCCTAAAGAACTAAAACATAATATTTCTGACCTTTGTATTAAAATATTTAACATGTCCCTAAAAATAGGCCTTGCACCAGATGATTGGAGAATGGCCAATGGAACACCAATTTTTAAAAAGGGATTCAAGGGGGATCTGGTTGATTACAGACCAGTTAGTTTCACATCTGTTCTGGGTAAACTGCTTGAAAGCCTCATTAAATACAGAATTAGTAAGCAGACAGAGGGACATGCCCTCTGGAGAAAAAGTCAGCACGACTCCTGCAAGGGGAAGTCCTGTCTCACTAACCTATTGGAGTTCTTTGAGAGTGTCAATAAGCACATAGGCGGGGCAATTCTGTAGACATTGTTTCCTTGGACTTCCAAAGGGCTTTTGACAAAGTCCTACACAGAAGGCTGCTGAGCAAACTAAGCACTCATGGAATAAAAAGGGAGGTTCTTTTATGGATCACAAACACAGGAGACAGAGGCTGGAAATAAATAGTAACTTCTCCCAAGGGAGAGATATAACCAGTGGAGTCCCACAGGGTTCTGTATTAGGACCCATACTTAGAAAACAGAACTGCCAAGATCCTACTCCCCGGTATGACTGCACTTAGAATATTGTGCCCACTTATTGTGAGCTGAGCTCTTCCTCACAGCAGTAATAGTGTTACCAGCAATTCTTGCCAAATGCCTTTATTTTATGTAAGTCTCTGAGCATACACAAAGTGAAATATTGGACCATCTCTGGCCCTCTTCACCCAAAGCTTTGCTTATGAATCCTTTTGTGCCTGTCCCTGGGAGGAGGAGCACTGTGGAACTGGGTACACCTTCCCCTGAAGATCCAAAATAGGCCACCCTACAACTCTAATGATGGACTATTAGGTCCACCTCATCAGGAAGCTGGAGTTCCCCATCCAACATACTCCCCATCTCAAAA